AACCAACTGAAATTAATCCAAGTGTTGAAACTAACCATAGGAAAAAGGATGATTCAAAGCTAAATGGAAATTAAATGTCTTAATTATCTTGATTAAAAATCGTCTTTAATTGTTTGCTTTATTTTAAGAGTTTTTAGTAATTAGTTTAAGTTAATATGAACTTGAAAAATCAAATAAAAACCCCCAATCTTAGTTGTTTTTATTAGTTTAACTTCTAGTAGTTATTTTATTAATTTAAATATTGTTCTCTGTGATCGACACCCGACTTAATTTACTATTCTATAATCTGACTATGTACACTACCTATTTGCGTTTTAGCTAGTTAAGTTTGGTTAGGTTTATTAATTAAAAACTAATATATATATATATATATATATATATATATATATATATATATATATATATAATATAGGCATCAACTTGTATTGGACATGCATGTCTAAAAAGCAATGATTTTTATGGTGTAATAGAAGTAAGAAAGCGTTTTGGAAAGTATGAATGGGTTGCTTGATAGATTAAGAGCTTAATCCATTAAGATGTGGGAGCCCGATTTCCACGACGTGGCAGCTTGCTCTCCACGACGTCGCGTTGGCGTTATCACAACTATTTTGCCCTTATTTTACCACGACGTGACCAAAGGGTAGCCAGGATATGGGGGTCAGCTGGGGCTGACTTTGACCTTTGACTTTTGACTATTGTTGACTTTTTGTCAATTTAAAGGTTTTAGGGTGTAGAGTGAGAGGGTATTTCTATATTTTTATTTAGGTGTCCCGTAGTATCTGTCTTTACTATCAGAGAGTTATTGTGTTAGTATGATGTTTGCGAGGTGAGTCTTCTCATTATGTTACCTATGACAATAGTAGGGTGTATGCTAGACTAGTTGAGTCTTATTTGTTGAATGTTGTTATGTGTGCTTATTGAGGTGTTGATAACTCCATTATTGTTGATAGTCTGTCGGGTTGCTGATAACACATAGGGCTGTTGTGATCCCATAGGACTACTGATAGTCCTCAAGACTACTGATAGTCTCAGGGTTGCTGATAACCTATAGCTAATTTTGTGCTGTATGTGATATTTTAAGGAACTCAATAAACTTCTTGCTTGCATTTGTAGATTTAAATGTGTTTCAGATACTTCGGATGATCGTGGGAAGGCGAAAACTTAATTGTACACTCTCCTCGGCAGCTTTCATGATTCCACATTTTGTGATACTCTGATTTTTGAGATGTTTGTATTTTGATACTTATGATTTTCTTGACTTGGTTTTCTTGGAAACAATATTTTATTTAAATTAAAAATGAAAATTTTGGTTGAGATTTTTGGGACGTTACAACTTATTTGGCGATCGAGAAATGTAATAGCTTTGAACAGTATTTATCTAGGTCCTACATGATTCAAAGGGAAATTTCTAATTTGGATAAAAACAATGCGAAACTTTCTTCTCTTGATTGGAACACGCGGTGTACTAACCCATCATCTAGTCTACCTATGTTCTCTCAGGTGTTTTTAAGAAGAGAAAATGAAGGAACGTGAAGGAAATATATGTTTTTGAGTTTTTTAAAGGAGAAAAGGAAATGAACTACAAAGAAATGTGTTTTCAAGTTTTATTGGGATCGAATGAAATTTGAAGGAAATGGATGAAAAGTAAAACCTTTTTTCTCTTAATATATTTCTTTCCGAAAATGAGATGATTGGTAAGAAAAATGCAAGTGCATAGACGTTTTGATAGTTGTTATCAAAGACAAGTAAATAGACGTTTTGACAGTCGATTTCAACAAACTATTTGTATACGATTTGATAGTTGTCGTTAGGGACAAGCATGTTGGTGTTTTGATAGTGGTCGTCAACCTCTTATTCCGGGCAAAGCACATTGGCCAGTCGTGTAATTTTTATCTAATTATAGTTATGTTTGATTTTATTAAATTTTTGATTTCTTATTGACTTTTTATAAAATGTTTTATTTGATTCACATATATCTAATACACTATAATAAACTATCGGACGGTAGAATTGGTACCGAAAAAAGCGATGAGCTATAGGCAAGCGTACCTCATCCGCAACGCAATGTTTGCTTCGTTTTCACATGGTGGGTAGATACAGTTGGTAAACATGTTTAATCGTTCATACTTCATAGTTCCCTTTATGTTACTCAATTTCACTTTTCTCATATTTCTCCCATCACTTTCGTATATTTACTCTACAATCCCTCTAACAATTTTGAGTATTATCTTATTTTGATTTTGATTTTGTCTGCAGATTTCTTTTATAGCAATAAGTATATAGAAACTAAAAATAGGACTTCAAATCAATGATTTGTTTGTCAAAAGTAGCTTCTATTTACTAGTTGAAAATATAATTTTTATTTTTGTTTATATAGAAATGTTTGACAAAAGTTATTGAAATTAAAAGTTTTTTTTATATGTTTAAAATGACATACAATATAGACAAGATTATTTGATTGGTCCATGTGGTAATCAAAGGCCGTATGGTCTGTTCTTATCTATTTTTTTGTTATATGGATCATTCATGTGGTTTTATTTTTTTGTGTGGTTAGTCATTGACCCATATAAAAAAAATTTGTTTACTCTTTTCAATATATCTTAGACTTTTTTCTATTAGTTTTAATTTGTTTAGATATTAAAATAAGACGTCCCACCATACGGATACTTACCAACATCCCCTTCCCTTGTTCCTCTTCTTCCTTTCTGTGCCATCACATCTGACATATCTTTCCGGTCACCACAACATCATTTTCTTCACATTCCTTTCCATTTCTATAGTTTCTTAAAACTTAATTTGAAACTGAAATCAATAGTGAAACTAAAAACCTAACATCCAAATCTAAACGTGGTGCTTGGTTTTCTCCAAATGAAAGGTGACGGGCCAGATATGGATAGTGGAGAGATGAAGGTGGTGGTTCTCAAACTTAAAGTGGTGGCTCTTAAGAGAGAGAGAGAGAGAGAGAGAGACGAGGGGGTGAATGCAATGAGAGACATGCGGTCGGTAAAGAAGATATTGGTAAATATATGTGGAGTTCAAGATTGTCTTTCCAAAAGAGTCATTGTGGAGAAAAGGGGGATTCCAACATATATAATCACTTATAAGATCGTGTCACACCGATGTGGGACACACAAACAGTGAGGCGGTGCGACAAATGGCGTCCTCTTTAAACTCGTTGTCTTCTAATTTCTAGTTGGTTGTGTGTTTTAATTTTTAGTTGTGTTCTGTGTTAGTTTAATTTCAAACGTGTTATGTTTTTTAATTTCAAGTTTGTGATTTCTTTTTAAGTTAATTAGATTTAAGTTTTTTATTAAAAAAATTTGTTTATATTGATTTCTTTATATAAATTAAATATTAAAAAAATTAGCATGACGTGAATGACACAAATTTAAAGCAGTGTCACAAGTACTATGAGACACCTATATAAACTGTGACAAGTTTAACACTACTTCTTTTGGTCTAAGAAGTTCAGAATAATGTATTAAGAAATAGCGATAGAAATAATTAGTTTTTTTAAAATTAATTATTTGGGGAAAACAAATTAAACCAAGTCAAAATTTATCTTGGAATTGATTTTAAACCCATTTTTTTCATATTTTGAAATGCGTTCCGAGGAATTTATTTCTTAAGTCTTCTTTAGTAAGTCAATTCATATGGATAGAGTTATAAATCCTGATATATATATATAGATATATATATATATATATATATAATATATATATATATATATATATATATATAATATATATATATATATATATATATATATTAAAAAAAATTTCTTAAAACTGCAAACCAACTAACCTATTCTTAAAAAAATTTGTTTATATTGATTTAAATTAAATATTAAAAAAATTAGCATGGCGTGAATGACAAAAATTTGAAGCAGTGTCACAAATACTATGCGACACCTACATAAACTGTGACAAGTTTAACAATACTTCTTTCGGTCTAAGAAGTTCAGAATAATTTATTAAGAAATAGCATTAGAAATAATTAGTTTTTTAAATTAATTATTTGGGAAAACAAAGTAAGCCAAGTCAAAATTTATCTTGGAAATGATTTTAAACGCATTTTTGTCATATTTTGAAATGAATTCCGAGGAATTTATATCCTAAGCCTTCTTTAGTGGTCGATGCATATACGATAGTTATAAATCCTGAACTATATATATTTCTAAAATTATGTGTTTATTAACATTTTTTTTTTAAAAACGGCAAACCAACTAATCTACTCTTAAATACCATTTATGTCTCTTTAGAGACTTGATTTTTCATTTGAAAGAGTTACTCCTTAGGGTTAGACAAAAAGTCATTTGATATTTATTAACATTTGATTAACTATTTCTAAATTTATCTATTTATTAACAATTGATTACACATTATGGGTGTGTTTGGTACGAAACTTTTGGAAGCGTTTGGAAGCTTCTAACTTTTAGCTTTTGACAAAATGTTCTAGTTTAAACAAAAAGTTTCGTTTGGCAATACGAGCGTTTAACTTTTAGTTTAAACAAAACGCTGCAAATCTAAAAGCTACTTCATGTAGCGTTTAACAAAACGATACTAAGCTTTTGAAATCAATTTTCATAACTATCCTTAAAAATATATTTATATATTTATTTATTTATAGTCAATTGTCATTTTATGTAATTTTATATATTCCAAAAGCTACCATCTTTTTTTGTCAAACACTAATATAATAAATAAAAGCTACAGTTTCTCGCTAGCAGCTACCCGCTACGAACTAACCGCTACCCGCTTTTAGCTAACAGCCAATTTTGCCAAACATGCCATATATATAATATTTTTGTTTTATTTTATTAAAAGATATTATATCAATTTCATAATTTCGGTTTTTGCTAAGCCAACGTTATTGCCTATATATATACATCTATATGCTTCTCTTTATCTTCCTCTCCTTCTCACCAAAAAGTTTGTCTAGAGATCAACCACTACTCAGCGGAACCTTTCCCTACTCCCCGCCGGAGTTCCACAACCACTATGAGCGGGAAAGACGGCTGTGGCCATCACCAAGCAGATGAACGCCGGAAACACTACCGCCAATTAATTGGAACCCTTATCTCAGTCATTTTCGTAATTCTCTTCGTAATCCTCCTCATATACCTCATCCTCCGTCCCACAAAACCTCACTTCACCCTCCAAGACCTCACCCTCTACGCCTTCAACATCTCCGCCGCCACCACCACCCTCACCTCCAACCTCCAAATCACGGTCTCCTCCCGTAACCCAAACGCTCGCATCGGAATCTACTATGACAAGATTGACATGTACGCCACCTACCGGAGCCAACAGATCACACTAGCAACACTAATCCCGCCGTCGTACCAAGGCCACAAGGACATCACTGTTTGGTCGCCGTACCTCTATGGAACGGATGTTCCGGTGGCGCCATACCTCGCCATGTCTTTGGCTCAAGATGAGTCCGCCGGAACTGTGTTGGTTAACGTTAAAGCTACCGGAAGAGTGAGGTGGAAAGTCGGAACTTTTGTTTCCGGTGGGTACCGGTTGAATGTGAATTGTCCAGCGTATATAACGTTTGGGAACAGCAACGGTGGTTATGCCGTTGGTCCTGCCGTTAAGTATCAGTTGGTTGAAGGGTGTACGGTAGATGTTTAATGCTACAGGTTCTAACGCCGTTAAAAAAACTGAAATGCAATTTTTGGCTTTGGTAGTATTATCGGAAAAGAATGGAAAGGAAATCAAGAGGAAGGAAATGTTGGTGGAATTTCTATTTTAATGTTTATAATCTAATTTTCTTGTATTTTTTGGCACAAATTTTCCTTTCTGATTTTGTGTTAGAATATAATAATATTGTAAATTAAGGACCGGAAACGAGGTTTTTTACATTGAAAGTTTAAGTTTAAAATTTGGATAAATTACACCAATCGTCCCTCGTGCATATGCCAGAAAACGTGTTTAGACCCTATTTTCAAAAATTAACTCAGACAGTCCCTTATATGGTAGAAAGGTACACGCTTCATCCCTCGTTAGTTTAAATTTGTATATTTCATCCCTTGTGATACATGAAATGACTAAAATGCCCTTTGTAATTTCTTTTTCATTTATTTTGACATTTACGTTCTTTTTAATTATTAATAAATATTTTAATTAAGATTATGGGTCCACGTAGCTACCAAATCACTTGAAATCTACACCACCAATAGAAACTTGCACAACTACCATCGGAAATCTACCAACACCTTGTACCACCCAACTCCCCGGTTCAAAGCTCAAGACCACCACCCTGCTTCCATCAAGCCACCTTTCACCTCCTCCTTATACCACCTGTTCAAAGCTAAAGACCACCACCGCCACCCTCCTGTACAAACACCAACAAACCAAAAAAAAACCCATTCGAACACCATCTGTCACCGCTCCATCATCACTACTGGAAAAATCCACCTCCACCCTCAAACACCACATCTGCCACCTCCATTGCTATCAACTACCACCAACAAACAAAATTAAAACAATAATCTGATGTAACAATCTTAGAAAAACCACAAACCTAAATCTACGCAGAATTATGGCAAAATTAGTTTGATTAAATCCAAAACCCAAAATCATTTAGCTCAAATATAATCAGAAGAAACACAACCCCTAAATCAGAGTTTGAAGTTGGGTTTACTGTGGTGGTCTTAAGAGAAATCAAACCCCCACCGGAAATCGACACACAACCCCTAACATACTTCGGAAAATCAACTGATATCGACACACAACCCCTCGGGATCCCCTATCGGAAATCAACACTAAGGTGATGGAAAATTTAGAGTTGCAGGTTTCCGGTCGACAGTGTAATCGTTGAAGGCGACTTCATCGTTATCAACGTCTCTCGTTAGAATCCAATTTACAGATACAAAGACAGGAGAGACAACATAGTTATTTTCCACAACGATGTCGATGGATCTAGAGTTGTAGAGTCGTAATAAGGTTTTATCTTCGGAGAAGTAGTGAGAGACGGAAGCAGAGTAGAGAGAGGCAGTCTGCCATTTTTGTTTCAGGTGAGTTTGGGGGGACGAAAGGAAAATGAGGAAAGGGAAGGGGGAGGTCCGATCAAGTGGAGATATTTATTTATTTATTATTTTCTTTAAATTTAAAATTTCTAAACAAATAAAAGAAAATTGAAAAAGAAATTATTAAGGGCAAAATAGTATTTTTATGTACGAAGGGACGAAGCACGCAAATTTTAAGCAAACGAGGGACGGTCCGAGTTAATTTTTGAAAATAGGGACTAAACACGTTTTCTGGCATATGCACGAGGGACGATTGGTGTAATTTACCCTTAAAATTTTAAAACTTGACGTTTGAGATTTATATTATTCACATCTCAACATGAATATATACATTTTAAAAAAAAAATTAGGTTCAAAATATTTATAATCACACACACACACACCACATATATATATATATATATATATATATATATATATATATATATATATAGCTAGGTTCAAATGTTTCTAGCAACTATTGTGTGCCTAAATGCACCAATGAGAATTCAAAAAATAATAAATAATTAAATAAATCATTTAAGGATATTGTGGACATTTTGTACTTTTAATTAAGGAAATCATTTAATTGAAATCCTACAATTAAGGAAATAAAATAAATATATTTGACCTAGTCATTTAATTGAAATTCTGTCAACCATTGCCCTACCACCATCTCGTGTCGTCGCCTCCCTCTAGATCCACTTTCGTCGCCGCCTCTGACTTGCTCAACAGTTGTAGTCGCCTCCGACTTCTTCCACTGCATCGCATTCGTCCACCACCGAGCACTCCACTGCCACCCCTCTATTTCAATGGAAAATCACCGCCAACACCCTCTATTACTACTGTGATGCCGCTTTGAGAAGTCCTCCACCTCCTTTGACTTCGTCCGGCAGCAGGAGGATGCTGGCCTCCACCGTTATCATTAAACGCCCCACCACCGCCGCTCGCCGGCTGTTGCAATTCTGCCACCTCCAGCCACCCATTTCGGTTAAAGGTAACCTCGCATACCTCTATTTGCTTCCTGTATACTTAGTCGATCAATGGAAAACACAAAACGATTTTATTTTGTTACTAGTCGTGCATAGAGGTCGATACAGGAGGAAAGTCTCCTCCTGTTTATCAATTGTTTATCAATTGAACCAAACTCCCAATTCAAAATAAATTTGTTTAACCTAATTTCAAAATCTATTACAAATCTAGTCCCTAACTCAATAAACTTCATTTAATTTGTGCAAAACAAATCCTCTCCTACAAATGATTTTTATACTGGTCCTAATAGCCTAAACTAATAATTATTTTATTTACATTTAACCCTCCTTGTGATTTATTTGCAAAATAATTTCAACTCTATTGCAAATGTGTGTTTGTTTCTTGAATTCATGACTGGGAATGAATGCAGATGTGTGTTGATGATTCAATCACAGCTCTTGAATTCTGTATTCAATCACAACTCTTGAATTTTGTATTCAATCATAGCTCTTGAATTCTGTAATGTATTCTATTAGAATTTATTTATATAAACGTATTCTGTTAAAATATTTGAGAATAATTGTTAACAACAAGTATATTTGTTTAACTGGTAATGAATTTGTGATACTTTATGGTTGACTTTATAGTCTCTACTATATTCTGTCAGAATTTATAGTTTTTATTTTCTACTATATTCTGTCAAACTTTATAGTTTTTAATACATTCTGTCAGAATTTATAGTTTTTATTCTCTTAGAATGCATTAAATTTTTTAATTTTTGAAACTTGATTATGTTTTCTTTGTGGATTTAGGTTTTGAAGAGGCTAACATTGATGTGGAGAAGGAAGAAAACATAGAGAACGAGAGTGTATTATACCAGAATGTGTTATGCTACAATGTATAAAGTGTTGCTTAAAAATAATATTCTCTCAGAATAGATTAGTGTTTTTGTTAGATTTTGATGTTTTATTTTCTTTTTTCTTTCAGAATGTTGTTATTATTTAATGAATCACAATCATACAATGTGATTATTTGGTATATTATTGGTTCAAGAATTGATTTTGTGTATTCTTTTCAGAATGTATTTACTAGTTTATGGTTGACATTCTGTCATTCTAATAGAATAAAATCGAAAAATATATTTACTAGTTTATGGTTACCATTCTATCATTCTGACAGAATAAAATCGGATTTTTAATTTTGAATTAATTTAAAATATTCAGATTTTTTAAAATAAAGGAATTAATTATCCCTAAAAATCCGAAAATTTCTTTTTTTAATATAGGTTAATTGACTAAAATGCCTTTATGCTGAAATTTGTGTGATTATATGGTACATGTTATCCTATTCTACTATCATAGACCTTCAGATCATGACCTTTGATTATATTCCATCCAATGGTCCAGATCTGTGCATTCTGGCACATAATAGTTATTAGAAACAAAATAACCTAACCCTATATATATATATATATATATATATATATATATATATATATATATATATATATATATATATATATATATATTATATAACATGAATATATACATTTTTTTAAAAGAAAAAATTAGGATCAAAATATTTATAATCTCACACACACACATATATATTATATATATATATATAGATATATATATAATATATATATATATATATATATATATATATATATATACACCTTGTAGAAGTGGACTTTTAAGATATCAAGTTTAGTCTCTAACCTATTTTATTCTTAGTGAAAATGATTATGGTTTCAATTTTTGATTCATGTCTCATATAAAAAGATTTTTATACCATTTTATTTATTTATTTATTTTTTATTTAGTTTTAACATAAAAAATATAAAATAACAAAACTCTAATAAACCTAACCCCCACCCCCTTCTTCTTCCCCCACACTGCTTTCAATCTCTTTTGCCCTTCGTCTTCAACGGTGACAAGAAACGAAATCGAGTAATGCTTCTTTCTCCTTCTACTCTGCAATCTCCAAAGCTTTTTCTAACCTCGTGATTAGTACATCACCCTCTCTACAACTGTCTATTATCATCGCGTTCTCAAATAATGCTTCTAAAGAAAGTGGATTTTGGGTCAATATTTCTCCCATTTCATTCAACAATCTCACCATCAGAAATTTCCAATCGATGTTTTCGGGTTTGACTGAAACAAGTTTTCTCTAAAAAATATAAGCTCTCTTCATCCTCCCATGCTTCTAATTTCTCTTCAAAACTCGATTCCAAAAACTCCAATAAATTTTTTTTTTGGACTTTCTTCAAATGTTGCAGCTTTTGTTGTTATGATACTCAAGATACTTAGTTCGGCCATGGCGGCGTATTGTTGGAATTCAGAGATAACAATAGTAGCAGTGACAGAGAATACAATCACACAAGCGGCACACTTGAGGCTTTGTATGAAGGGATCATTTCGGGGTTTAGGGGTGTTTGGGATTACTTTTTACCTCAAAAGTCATTTTCTAAAAGTCCTTTTTGACTTTAGCTTTTGAAGGGAAAAAAGCCAAAAGTTGTTTTTAAAAAGTGTTTACCTTAGCAATTCTTAATTTTTGAATGTAATTTACCTTTTAAGCGACTAAAAGTCACAAAGAGAACATTTCTTGACTTTTGAAAAACCACAATTTTTTTCTTGGCAAAAAGTTTGTTTCAAAAGGACTTTTCTAATTGCAAAACATCTTTTTGAATTTTTTTACTTTTTGGAAAAGCCAAAAATCAAAGTCATTTGAAAAACAATCTCAAAAACCTTCTTAGTGGCATCGGAAGCGGCGTTGGAGTACTTGATTTTAACTATGGATTTTCTGAATTGTTTTGATTTGGGGACGAATGGGTTTGAGTTGACAAAGTTTAAGCCGAATGGATTAAAAATGGATTTTTTGGTGATGGAATGATGATTGTAATCTAGTTGAGAGCGCAGACTCCATTGTTGCAACTTGGAGCTTTTTCTGTGACTTTTAGGGTTTTGATAAGGATTTGGATTGGGAGAGAAGACAGGATATATAACCACAAAGCAAGAAAAGGATAATCAAACAAAGATACAATTATCCTTATTTGTTTTGATTTAATTTAGCGCAGATGGTATCCCCAGACCGTTCCTTCTTCTCTGTCACACCCTCGGCTGGTGTGGAACATGTCGAGCTGTGCGACTAAGTTCATGGATCACATATAAACTGAATATATAACACAAGTACAACGATAAACAAAACATCATTGGTATTCCATCATTAAGTTTGAATACGGGGTCCTTACAGATAAGAATAATACAGTAGTTTCCTTAAACAGGTAGGCAGATAACAAAAACTAAATAGCTAGGAAGTCTGTAATCCATGACCAATCTTCTGTATGAACGCTTGTCTAATGATCTCCTAAGAATACATGTAAGTTTGAGGGTCAACAAAAAGGTTGGTTAGAGTCACAGGTTTTCTGAAATAGTGATACTTTTAATATGATCCAAAAAGTATTGCCTTTTTTGTAAGTAAAACCGTGTTTGGAAATGTTTG